ATCCGCCCTCATTAGTCCTCCTCCAACTGAGGATCTTTCCAAATTTTTTAGCAGGTCGCTGATTATCGGATAACGGCCCCCATTTCACTTATGCACTTACGCGACCGCATCTGGAACGCGACATGACTCGTTCCTCTACGTTTCCCCGTGCTACGGGAGCCATACGCGGTCGGACAGCAAATGCCTTCGGGACAAAGCGGGACTCATGCATTCCCAGGCAGAAGAAGCCGGAGCTCGATGCCAACTTCCTGCGAGCGTGAGGCAGGAACAATGGCAGCCCCTGTTTCCCCGCTTAGAAGAGCCGCAAGGTTGGCCCCCTGAAACACACACTGGGCTCTTACGCATGCTTGCGCGACGGAGGTCAGACCCTCGTTCTCTTGTTTTCCCAGCAAAGCTACATGGTGACTGACACTGGGCCAACTCTGGCTTCAGCATTAAAGTGGAATAAAGCCCACCCCCCCCACCTTAGAGAAGGCCTGACCGAGAACAACCATTAGCCGGGGGGGAGGGGGCAGCTAACCCTCTGCCGATCTTCAGCACCTAGTCTGTCAGGACGCCTGCATGCCGGCCAAGAAGTGCAGCCCAATCCCTGGTTTCCCTTCAGCAAAACAAAACAGACAATACCAGTAAATACCAGCTGGTGGAGACGCTGGGCCCCAAACCAACTATGAAAAGGATGGTTTGAAAAGGTGATGTTCATCCACTTTCCAGCTGCCGTGCTCTTCAGTGTGGGGTGACCACTGGTCCAGATTTCATCCAGACAGTCCGGTTTTCAGGCCCGCTAACTGGGCTGCCGCTAACTCTCCAGCCTCTATCGCAAAACAATGCGCACACACATATACTACTGAAGGCTTGTGGGAGTTTTACTTACACAAAAATGTCTTGAGGGCAGAACATAAAATGATTTTTTCAGAGTGATAACCACTTAGATTTTAGATTGTAGAGGAGATGGGTCCAAACAACTAATGGAGGCAAGACCAAGACATCTGATTGGTTGGTCCTGCCTCTTATGGTTGCTTGGACCAACCTCCTCTACAATCACATTTGTCTGAACCAATCATTTTTCATTTTGCCCTCAGAACATTTTTTGTGTAAGTCCCATAAGCGTACGGAAGCTATGCTTGCAATATTTTATTTATGTCATTGTCTCGAGATAACAACAAATGACTGTGATAGATATACCATCACCCCCCCCAAGAGCTTTTCATGGTTGACCTCCTTTATGACCCTCAGTCTTTCTTTTGGGACACAAGTGGTCAGAATGGCTTCACGGTCCATAGAGGGTAAAATCCGGAAGGACCTCTGTGTCTGATATGCACCAGTGATTGGTTCCTCTTGGTTCTCCTAATGGGGGGGGGGAGGGGGTGAAACAGACACTTGTGCTAACAGCCACATGTGTCACATCAGCTGAGCACAGGGGGACGTGGCGGCAACGACCCCCCCTGCTGTGAGTTCACCCCTAAAATTAACTCCCCCAATTCAGCACCTTCCCCCCCTCCACCCCCGAGGGGCCGCAAGGGCTGTCCGTGCATGAAATTGTCCCCAAACATCCCCCCGAGTGCCATCTTGCCATATACCCCATACCTCCGTACACAGTCAGTGTTGTGATAAGCAGCGTCCCTGGGACGCCAGACACCAGCTGGAGTTGAGAGTCTGCCCCCCCCCCGAGTGAGGCTCTGAAATAGTTTGTCCCTAGTAAGGGCGTCTCCAGCATTTTTTTCAGTAATGAAAGTGTTCACGTGCTGCTGATATTTTATGTGTATTTACTATATTAAATGCTTCACGTTGTAGAGAAATCTGGTGTTGCAAATGAGGCAGATGGCACACAGGCGTCTGTGAAACAGAACTCGCTGTCCCTTTTTGTATGAAAATAATGTTTCCTTTCATTTCCGTCCATTGCTGTTTTCTTCCATGATGCCCTTTGTAAGTCTAACTAGCTGTTAATTTGGGTGACAGGTGACTCCCCATTGGTCATTATCTGCTGGAAAGGGGAGGGACGTCTATGAATTTTATTGGATTAACGCAGGGTTGCTGAGCTGTATGTATGAGCTATAAGACCTGTTGTTGTCTGTTTCCCGTTCAGCGCTTCTTAAGTGATAAGTATCTTATTGCTAATTGTTAGCGTAAAGCCCCGGGAAGTGTGAAACAGCCTCCATTGGCCAGTTGCCTTGTGATAGTGCAACTGCTCCCTCCCTCCCTCCGTGGTGCCCTGGGCTATGGGGGCACTGTGCCCACGTCACAGAGGGGTGGGGTTCCCTCATCAGACAGAGCCACTATCCTGTCTGCTATCCTGTCATGCCAGCAGCATGTACAGCAATGGCCAGAAAAGGGGCGGGGCCACAGGGGCACTGGGCCCAGCTAAAAGCGGATTGGTCCTTGGAGTGCCACCTCCCCTGTCACTCACCGATTCAAAGCATATCATTGGCTATTGATCAGGTTGGTCCCTTTGGATGAATTTTGGCCCCTCTTATGACCCCACTGTAAAAACATCCTATAATCATCCCTGGGTGTGAACTGTTAATAACTGATACGCATTGTTATAAGTCTGTTATAAGAGACTGTCTTCTCAGGTAGGCCATGATAGCACAGGGAGCGGCACGTGTTGCATGGAAGTTCTGCTGAATCAGAGGCTGATCTGTCTCTAGGATGCCGATCTCTCACCGCCCTGTTTCCCACACTCGCCCCTGACCCGCAGCCCCCACCCAGCCTGCCCCAACACGCCCTCAGCAAAAGCCAGGCCTTCCAATCCGTCAACAGACATCTTTTTTCTTCTCCTTTATTGTGTCAGGTACCCCCAGGCTGTCAGCCTTTTAAAACCCCCACCAGCAAGCCCAACACACACACACACACACACACACACACACACACACATTGCTTGTGTGAGCTTTGGCCAGACTGGGTGAGACTCTGACCAGATGTATCTCTGCAGGAACAACATCACACCTGGCGCAGGTGGGTTTACCAGGATCACTATTAATGGGACAGCAAGCACTGGTTTTGTTCCTTTAACTGGAGCCCTTGTACTCCTTTCCTGTTTAATGGGGCCTCACTCTGACTGCTGCTGAGCCGTTCCACAGGTACGAGATCCAAATTGAATAATATAAAGGAATATGCAAAAAAAAATTAAAACTTCTTGGAACACAGACTCCTTGTGATTATTACAAAGCTGAGATGTTTTTTGTGGGGGCAGGATTCACGTCACACTTACCTTTCATTTAGAGAAGCATAGTGTTTTTATGCAAGCTGACAAAATCAGCAATCGTCCTTAATTAGAGCACTGAATTTGTCTCTATATATGTGCATAAATATTGAGCTGGGAAGCAGCTTGGAAAAACCGCCGGGAACAGGTGACTAAATACAAAGCATTTTAGCATTTAGCCATTTAGGACAGAAATATCCAGTTTAATAACTCATTTTGATTATTTTGACCTGGATTTCAAAGAATTCCCTTTACGAAAAGGACATGATACCCATTGTGAAAAACAGAGCATGTCGATATGCCAATTGCTCTCAATACAGAATAATCATAGCTCAAAACTTACTGTAATGTATTTCAAAATCTCATAATGCATATACGACTACAGTTCAAATGGCATAACACCCACCTGTCATATTTTGTTACTTTACTTCGCGTTTGCTATATATATATCCCTGATTCTGCAAAACTGCAATGCATAGTGATATTCTGAACTGCACCGTCTATCTGGAGCGATTTAAACAAATCACTCGTGTTTTAAATCAGCCATCATTTTTATAGAACTTACACTTGCTTTCAGTTGCTAATAAAAATGGCTGCCGTTTGTATATTTTAAAAAGTTTTGAAGGCTGAAAATACCTGGGACAGTAGCAAATGCTTGAACTCAAGGTAACAAACCACAACCATGGGAAATATTAAAATGAATGCAAATTCTGCTTTTGATCAGCACGACTATTGTAAATATGCAGGTTTCAGGAATTGCCACACTGGATGTATAATCTGCAGAGTTATGAAATCTAAGATGAAAGTGTCATGTGACATCTGACCAAAACTGAATTTGCTGGAATATAAATATACACGACCGCTGAATTCCCAAGCTCTGCCGGCTTAGCAGCTCCGGAGAAACGATACTGATCAAAAAAGACGGCGCTACACCCGAGCGATATGTTGGTATACCTGGTGCAGGGTCACAGCTGGCATGACATTTTGCCAGCTAGCGACAATGAAGCACTCGGATATAAAATGCTCAAACACTCCCTTCTTAATGCTGAACAGAGGCAAATTGCTGTTCGTTTCAAGTTACACTGCAAGGTGCCACCAACTGTGTGACTTTTGGGGAAGGTCACATGGTCTCTTCTATTCCTATCGCTCTGGGTAAGATTTCCGTTAGAACGGGAAAGCGGAGTGCAGTGCCAAACCGGGCACGTTTCACTTCCTGGTGTCACCGCCAGCACCATGAATAGTTTCAACACAGCCGGAGACCTTTTACGCATGAAAGAAGTGGTTTCTGAATTGCTCCTCCCTCTCAAGAAGAAAACTAAAAACACAGTACAGCAAGTGAGCCCTTATTATACACTTATTATGATCAAAAGCTCTACTTCAGGGGTCACCAACCTTTTTGAACCTGAGAGCTACTTCACAGGTACTGAGCCCTACGAAGGGCTATCAATTTTAAATGCTTTTTTTTTTAGATATTGTCATTTTCAAATCTATATAAATGCAAATGTGATTAAAGAAGAATAGCAACAGGATAAAATTTAAATTTTAGACGCTGCTCACTGGTGAGTCGTGCTATTTGTAGAACAGGTCCGCGGGCAACTCATGTGGTCCTTGAGGGCATCCTGGTGCCCGCGGGCACCATGTTGGTGACCCCTGATCTATATCTTCGAGGTGTGTTGCTGAAAATGCCTATTAACGGGCCAAGACATTTTCAGACAAGGGTTTGGTGTTTTTTTAGATCTTTTTTTTTTTTATCTTAAGCCCAACGGAAAACAGCTTAACGTGACACTAAAACAGGCCTTACCACTGTCTTCTACTGTGAAGTAGAAAATGTCACTTGTGGCATTGTCCCCATCCAGCAGCACATAGCAGATCTTCATGTCATCGATGTCAGCTGATGGAAACAGACAGAAAAAAATCAGCATCTTACAGAAACGCAGCATTTTGACATTTTCTTACAAGCTTAAAGGTATTTGTAGACTAAAAGAACTAAATAACTTTCAGCATAATTAAATGTAATTTGTTTTATGCTAATCTCCATGTTGTTTTACCCACTATAAAGGGTCTGGACAAACTATTTTGATATCCCAAATGCTAACAGAGCACATTTATCTTGCTGCTGTTTTACAGACAGCCCCAGTTTATGAATTTATTGATCTGCTGCTTTTCTGTTATGCTTTCCTTTTTGTTATCCCTCACTATAAGTGTGATGGAGCGCTACCTTGCGTGAAGGTCCTGATGCTGTCATTCCCCAGCGCGGTGTTGATGATGTAGCCATGGTGAGGGGCCTCTACGACGTAGTACTTGAGTACTTTGTGTGGGCTGTCTCTGTCTTCTGATTTCAGCACCTTGCTGGTGATAAGGAAGCCCAGGTGGCCAGTGTGCAGGACCCTGAGAGTGGGGGCTGCCTTGTTGACCACAATCTGTGGAACGCCATTGTCGACCGTGTTGATCTGGATGGTCATCATCTGGGGCTTTCCGGTCTCGAAGACCGTATCGGGGAAGATGAAGAACTCGGTGTGAGTGCCATCCGTCACTGTGAAAGAGAAGCTGTCCTCTTGGCTTTCTGTGCCATCGTGCCTGTAGGTGATGAGGTTCTCATTCAGGTCCTGCTTGGTGAAGCTGGCAACCGGGCGTGTGCCGTTGTATAACAGCTGCCCATGCACGGGGACCTGGGTGATGACAAAGCGCAGCAAACGGTCGGGAGTGTCCCGATCCTCCACTGTCAACTCAAAGGGCGTGATCAGCTTCGCCTCACCCTCACCCACTACCAGTCTGTGGACAGTCAGCACCGGCTTCTTGTTATCCACATCGGTAATGGACACCCGAAAGGTGCGGAAGACTGAGTTGTAGCCGTCTGTCACCTCAAACTCAAAGCTGTCCATCTTCACCTCGTCGTAGGAGGTGTGGATGTAGTAGATCTTGTTGCCAGCCAGCTGCAGCTGGGTGAAGGTGGAAATGGGGACACCAGGATGGTCTGTGCACTCCAGGTGGCCACGGCTTGGCGCACGTGTTATGCTAAAGCTAAGATGTTCATCGGGGCTGTTGATGTCCGTCGTGCTGAGCAAGTCTGTGGTCAAGGTGACTCTGCCCCCTTCCTTTAATGTTACCCCTTTGTTGATGACATCTGGGAAGACCATGTCGATGCCTCCGATGTTAATGTAGAAGTACCGGTCAATCAGAGGATTGATGCCATCAGTGACGTCAAACTTTAAGAGGTCGCGAACGCCTTCTTGACCAGTGTGGACATATTGAATCAGCTCATTGTCGATTTCATCTTGAGTGAAGTTCATCCCTATGGTTATGTTTCCAACCATGTCTCCAAATTTGGTAATACGCTGTAAGTAACCTTGACCCGGTCCATAACGCACAATGTAAGTGAGGTCTTTGTCTTCAGAATCAAGATCTGTTGCCTTCAGGACCCTGTTAGTGATTGTTTTTGTTTCACTAATTTCCACCTCTAGTCCGTCATTGATGGTCATCCTTGGCGTCTCGTCATCCACAGGGATTACCATGATAAGAACTTTTTTCTCAACTTTATGCTTCCCATCAGTAAGCCTTATCTCAAAGCTGTCCTCTTTAGTTTCAGAGTCATCATGCTCATATACAATGTCGGATGCTTCTTTAATCTGTTCCAGGGAGAATCTGATAACTGGCACTGTGCCCGTCGTCAGCTGTTGGACTATTTTTCCACGTTTCGGTTTTGTTATAATTTCAAACTCCAGGTCATCCTCAGGAACATCTACATCCGCTGCATTCAGGATAGGCGTGTCAATCACAAGACTCATGCCTTCCATGACGACAAACTCCCGGATGAAAATTTCAGGCTTTTCGTCATTAGCTGGAATGATTACGATGGGGAAGAAGTGTCGTTTCGAGAAGTTGATTCCGTCTGAGCAATGGAAGGTGAATCTGTCCTCCACAGGCTCAACGCCTTTGTGTATGCTCTGCACATAGTAAATGTGATTGAGACTGACGTCTTTGATGCTAAAAGCAGTGATGGCAGTGCCCACTCTTGATTTTTCAGATCCTTGGGCAGGAGATATGTTCTCCACATAGCCAGACGTTGGCTGTACAATTATGGTGCACGATATGTCATCATTGTCAGTATCCACATCTTCTGCTTGAATGTTCTCCAAGGTGATGACATTCTTCTCCCCCTCTAAGACAGTGAATTGCTGCCCGACACTGACCACAGGAGATTGACTGTTCACAGGAAGAATGGTCACATGCACACGAACGCCTTGGACTTTGTTGCCGCCGACGACCCATTCGTCAGACATATCGGAGATGGTGAGGTTAAAGGCGTCATGCTCTTTGACCGGTCCAATTTCACCACTCGTGTGGGCATACACGACATCACCATTGATAATGTTCTGCTGCGTGAACCTCTCAGCAGGAACACCGTTCACCATGATCTCCCCCAGCTTCGGGGGCTCCTCCACAATGAACGTCAATCTAAGGTCATCGGTGTCCTCATCCTTACCTTGTATTATGTTGCTGGTGATCTCCGTGGCACCATTCTCCAGCACATCGATGGAGGCACCAAGCAAGCCAGCTGGGAGCAGAATGGTGGGCATCTCATCATCAACAGGTTTGACACTGATTTTGATGACGATCGGCACCTCATGGAAGCCATCGCTAACGTCTACTTTTATGGTGTCACTAAGTGATTCCTCTCCACTGTGTACGTAGGCTAGCCGGCCACTCTCTATGTCTTCCAAAACAAATGTCTCGCCAGCAGCCATATCAATTCCTAAGTACTGCAGCTGTCCGAAGCGGGGAATCTGGGTCACAGTGAAAATGATTTTATCATCATCTGTATCTTTGTCAGTCGCGTCTAGTTCGGCCTTAGATATGACAAAGGTGCTTCTTTCCAGCACAGTGAAACCAGTGTTGGTGATAGTAGGAGGCTTGTTGTCAACAGGTTGCAAGAAGATAGTGAAGAGGCCATCGACAGAGTTACCAGCAGTATCTTCTACAATAAAACTGAACTGAACAACTTTTGGAGTGATGCCCAACTCCTGGTCCGGTGGCTTGTATGCCACTTTGTGATGATTGATCTGAGCTTGTGTGAACTCCGAGATCACCGTCTCAGGACTCTCAGTCAGGACAAGCTCACCGAGTGGGACCAGGTTGTTTTCATCAGTGTCTGTGGGAGGCCTGGTAATGTGGAACTTAAGATCACGGTCATCTGAGTCCAGATCAGTGTAGCGCAAAAACTTCTTCGTAAAGTGGGTCAGTTTGTACTCCTTCACAGCCATATACAGTGCAGTGCCAGGGTAAAGCTCAGGGGGAAGGTCATCAACAGGGTGAATTTTAATCGTGAACGTATGCTCCCCAGATTGGTTTGGAGGGTCATTGTCATCCTGCACACGGAATACAAACCGATCCATAACTGTGGTGGTACTGTGAGGTCCAGTGTGGCGGTAGAAGAGTTTGCCGTCTAAGATGTCCTGCTGGAGCCACTCTGTCACCACCTGCTCAAACATCTCGTCCGTCGAGCTGAATTTCCAAGCAGCCCGGTCTTCTGGTGGCTCTGTTTGCCTGAGTAGCAACTCCCCCAGTTTGGAATATGGGGGCTCCAGAATGAACTTAATGGTGGAGTCCTCAGAATCGATGTCTGTTGCGCTCAGAATGAATGGGGAGATCTGCATGATCTCATTCTTGAAAAGTACCAATCCGGTGTTGGCGTTGATGATCGGGGGTTCATCGTCAGTCGGCACAATGGTGATGGGGAATAGAAACTCGACCTCATGCCTGCCATCTGTCATTCTAAAGATGATGTTGTCACTGTAAGTGTCACTGCCATCATGCTGATACACCACTATACCTGCGTCCAGATCGGCAGGTGTGAAGAACTTTTGGCGGGACCCCAGCATAGTCAGCTCACCATGCTTCAGGCCATCGATGACAGTGATTCTCACATCGTCAAGGTTATCCTCGTCGCTGATTTCCAAATTATAAGCACTGGTCAGTGGTCTCGACTGCCCCTCAAATAACAACTGGCCTGTATTCTTAGTCGCGACAGGCGCTAAAGTGTTCATGGGCTTCACTACAATCATGAAGGCGAATGTGTCAGAGATGGAACCTTCGGTGTCTACTACTTCGAATTCAATCTGGAAAATTCTCTCCTCGTCCGAATCTTCGGACGGGGGCTTATACGCGATTTTTAAATCTTTGACGTCTCTTTGATAGAAAGAGGTAATGGGCAGATTTTGATCATCAGTACTGATTATGTAGCCTTGCTGATAGCCCAGCGGTGAGGTGACGTTGAAAATCAAGTCATCTAGATCGGATTCGACATCCTCGGCAGCTAACATGTCGCTGGTAATAGCTGTCATCACAAATTGGTCAATCTCCATCATCATCATAGCCACAAAGCTTGGTTTGGGGGGCGTATTTTCAGCCCCCTCCTTAATTCGAACCATGATCTGAAAATGCTCCTGCTGTAAGGTGCTACCCTCCTGGTCCACCAGCTCCACCATCATCGGGATGTAGTCTCTGTTGGGCGAGTTGGTGGCGGAGGTGTGCTGGTAGCGAACACCGAGCTTAAGAAAAGCATCGCAGTCGACCATCTGCCCGTTCGCGGTGTAATTCAGAAGCTTGCCATACCTCGGGAGCCCGCCGGCGCCGACCAGGGTGCTGACCTTGCAGGAGGACACGCTGCTGTCGTAGGCGAACTCCAGGCCCTTTCGGTCGATGGGGTTGCTGTTGCCGTTGAGCTTCTCCACGGCCAGCGGCATGTTGCGCGTCAGGATCTCCAGCTGCTGGAACACCACCTCCACCTCCAGCATGAAGGGGATGATCACCGTGTCTGTGGGAGAGTCGTATCTCAGCTGCAGCTTCACCCGATCCCGGTTGGGGCTCCGTGATCCAAAGTGGGTGTACTTCACCTCCTCTGCGCCAAAAGCACAGGGGAACTTTTTGGGGGTCAGGGCGCCTGGCCTCTGGGCAAGTGGGTCATTGTCCAGCACTGTGATGTGGCAGCGATCCCCAGGCAGGACCTCCGTTATGAGATCCTTAACAGGGTCCAAAAAAACAGCCCGCCCAAAAGGTACTCGGATCCCATTATTGGCCAGCAAGATGGTGTCGGCGTTAGGTCCAGGTCTCTGTTGGAAAAGGAAAGCGGAATCGAAGCTTTGAGCGGCCACGTGAGAGAGGCAGCTGCTAAGGACAGAAATCACGAAGATCCACTCCGTCGCTTTACGAAATCCCATCCTGTGCAGACAACCAGCCATGCCTACAGCTAGCTGCCCTGCAGCTGCCGTCAGTCAGACTCCCCCAGATGGGTAAATAAACTGTGTGCTTAAGACCTAGTTTCACGGAGGCTCTCCCACACAGCCCACACACTCCAAGCAAGTGCCGCTGCCCCGGTGGGGATCTGCAGGTAATACTCCAAAGTCATAGCCCCGGACTCCTCCCCTCAGAGGCTCTGACAGGATGGCTCCTGTCCCCCGGCTAATTAAAGAAAGACCATTGGACAGCCCCCCTCTCCTCTTGCGCATTCCATGCCCCCACCCCAGCCCCCCGACTAAAGCCGCCATAAAATACCTTCCCATAAAATTTTGCTCTAAAACTTTGCTTTATCTCACCAGCGTTCGTAATAACTATTTTGCATAGTGCAGCACCTCTCCTAAAATACACACTAATAATATCTCCCAAACATTACCATTTTAGACAACTGTTGCTGTGGATCACATTACAGAAGCCCAAGTTACTGGTCATTCCATGCAGGGTGAAAATTATTGACTGAAAATCTAAACTTCATCAATAAAGATAAAAAATAATATAAATAAGAAGTAATTAACAGTGTCAGCCTCTTAATTTACGACTGTGCCATTATTGTAACCATTTCCCATAATACAAAAAAATTACACTGTTGAAAATAGCATGTATTCTAGCATTCAGTTTTAAAATTGCATGAGGGATTACTATTAATGCAAATTAAGAAGTCTGTTTTAATAAAAGAAGTTAATTAAATGTAATTAAATGTGAATTAAATTTAAAGATAAATTTTTCTGTTTGATGAACCCCCTCATGCAGTGAGTAAACGAACACTGGCGCCCTCTTTTGGCAAAGTCGGGTATTTTTAGGAGAAGTGCACGCTGCGGTTTTCTGTCATCTGCCGCAACATATTTGCTGTTTTTAAATAACCTTCAACTATAAGCCCGCGCGAGGACGGGCATTGCATTTAAACATTCACTTCATTCGTACCTGGTGGATTCTAAAAGTGTACATGGCTTAGATGCATTAAATTGAGTCTGCCATTTATTTTTATATCTTAACCTTTCATGGGTTTGCAGGAAATACGATTAGTGACACTTTCCTGGGGGGTGGCATGGTCGTGCAGTGGTGAGCACTGTTGTGTCACACCTCTGGGACCAGGGTTAGAGTCTCTGCTCTGGTTCCACGTGTATGGAGTTTGCATGTTCTCCCCCCGTGTCATTGCAGGGTTTCCTCCGCATTTCCGGACCCCACATCCAAAAACATGATGAGGTTAATTGGAGTTACGACATCCTGCCTCGCCATGGTACCCACAAAGAGCTTCTTTCACTGTGTCCAGTCAGGCCATTTTGTCCCAGCGTCCAGATATGCCATTGGAATCTGCAACCATGCATCGCCAATTCTGCTTAAAACACAGCCTTCTGCACCTAAAGACCCTATATCATACTGTGCAGAAACAGTACAACCACTCCTGGCTTAGCAAGCAGGTTCCATTCCAATGGCCAGGTCGTCAAGCAAAATGGTAGCTACCTGAAAATCAGATGGATATGCTTTAGCCTCCTTTCCTTTCTTTTCTCCTCCGTCCAGCCGTCCATTTTCTCTACCTGCTTGTCCTACTTATGGTGATGGGGGTTCAGAACCTAACCTGGAAACTAACCTGGTGGAAAGCAGGGAATAACCCAGGATGGGGCACCCACCCAGAGTTGAATTAAATTAAAAAAAATTAAAAAAAACTTTTCTGTTTAACAAAACCTCTCAAGCAGTGAGTAAACTCAGAGTTTCTTTTAGCCTTCATGAAGTGGACTTTTAAAAAAATTTTTGCACATTCTACTTCAAAGATCTCTTTCACAGAGGCATGTGAGTTTAGGTTGTAAATGTGTATATTGGTTGGACCTCACCTTTACCGAGGTAGTCACTAAATTAGGAGTGGTTGTATTTTGTAACTGTGCTCATCACTGTAGCATGTCAAGCTTTATGGAAATCATGGAATGAAGGCCTGCAGAAGCATTAATATGATCTGGAGTCTACATGTGATGTGAGAGCAAGGCCTCTGATTGGAGGAGGTGACACAGCATGCAGAGGTCAGGTCAGGGTCAGGTGCTTCTGGGGTCTGGGGAGTGACTGATACCATGTGGAACCCTCAGGTTTGACGCAGATCTGTTCACCCAGGGGCTGTGGAAATCAGGCCATGATACATATTGTTTTAGGGATGGTCTGGGGGTGGAGGTGCTGTTGGTGGTCTGGGGAGAGGGGGTTCATTTAATATAATAACCGTTGTCTAGCCTTTGGCGAAGTCTCAGAGTCACTAAGGTCCTTCATATATTTGTTGTTTTACAACAACCGGAAATGCAGTTCCTTAGACTTTTTGAGGGGTCAAAGTTCATGACCTCTAAGGGGCGTGGCAAGACACAAAATGCCCAACACCTGATATGGGCTGGAGGTGAGGAGTCTCGTTAACCCAGTAGGGGGTGTGGGTGGGCAGATGCCCCCAGGTTCTTGATGTCGTCTGATATCCAGTGGGTGCCGATGGAGCTCTAGGGATCGCCATGTATGGAACTTCTCCCGCCGCCTTGAACATACAAAGTAAGCGATCGACCGCGATGGACCACAGCCCTGCAAAACCAAGTTGATGACCTTTCATATTAATTATTCCTAGAAAGGCCAAATATATCTCTTGCGGTTGCTGTCACTAGGCATTGGTTTTAAATACACCCACCCGCCTTAGAAAGAAACCCCTCTCAGCAGGGCAAGGCGAACGGCTTGGTCCCACGGCGTGACACACGATCCGGGCTTTGGAAGAAGCTAACTGGAACAGTTCGATGTTGAGAAGCACGGCATCGATGTGACGGCACAAACGTGACACGGTGATGCCATGTGAGATGGGCAGGGCCTTGACATCGCCCATGGTCTGGGCGGGCAATGGTAGAGATGGTGGCAGGTACTACAATCTATCAAAAAAGATCAATAATTGCTGTACGTCTGCAAACTGATGCAATACTCAGTAGCTTGACTTGCTAAAATAGCCCCGGAGGAAGTGGGGGTGGTTAGTGAGATCATTTGCTTAACCTGAATATCTTCAGCAAGTAGCTGACCATAGTCATTTGGGGTATGTAAGTTGTTTGGGGCGTGGAAATCCAGCGCACTGCGCCGCGATGTAATCCTTCATTTCCTCACATTCAATCTGTCAGTAGCAATGGGCAATATCGGGCAGTGATTGATTTATGAGGCTGAATTAAGTGTCGGTCCTTCACGTCGGCTCGCAAACTCTATCCACCGGCAATGAGATGCGCAGTTTTCGCAAAGAGTGCTGTTGACCTTTAGAGGAGACCGGATGGACACACGCCCCACGATATTTGGAAGGAAGCGCATCCCACGCACACCCTTCAAAAAGCAGATGGAAATAACTCACTGTTTACTGGAGATGCTGACGTACTCCACACAACACCGAGTGGCGACTAGCAACCCCAGGCGCAAACTCCCCATCATGCGTGAAGTTCAATAGATGCCACGGATGCCCCATACATGTCAGGTCAGTCATTTCATTACATCTCGGAAATAGGCCCTACTATTTCAGCCAATTTGGAAGCAGAGGGAAGTCCAGAGTAACTATAGAAACAAACAGACCAGTCTCTTTATATAGTCGCGACCCTCTGGTTAATTACCTTGTTTCTTCCATCTAAGCTCTAGAGTTTTTGCACGTATATTTGGTTTATTTTTAAACATGTATTCTATAAGTCATTAGCAGCTTCCCAGTGAGGTGTTCTACGGCGCCCCCTTCAGAGGATCTCAGTGAAGTGCTGGTTGGATCTCTGCCAGCGCCTTGAGCCCGACTACCCAGGGATAAGCTCCCCACCCCAGGGACTGAGATGCCAAGGGCGTTAATGACGCATGATTGATGAGATGCCACCTTGGGTGTGTCAAGCACCTCCCCAGAGCGATGTAGGGGGATACTAGGCATTAGGCATCAAATATTCATTTTGAGAAATGCATTTTGCTCCCACATCCTCAAGCCAAATGGTTGTGGTTTTACGAATTCATAGACTTATATTGACTGGCTTAGTGCATTTGTGCCATTACCGTAATGAGATACGCAACAATGGTATTTTGGACTGTGACGCCGGCAAGAACACCATGTTCCATGGCCTCTTTACCGCTTGCCTGATAAACTCACTTCTTCATAATTTCTATCTATTTTCACAACCCCTATCAGCTCACTCATGCCCTTGACCCCCTGGTTCTGGACATCTTATCGTTGGATCTCAAACCGATCTGGTTGACCTGATCAAGTTGTTCAGTCATGAGCACATGCCTGAGCACAGAGTGCCCTGCCTCCTACCTATGCCTTCAAATTAACAGAAAAGGAAGCGGACGACGTTCATTCACAGCAGCGCTGTCATTGCGACGAGCTGTGGAATGTGCCGGGTTCGGAATCCCCTGACTGAAGGTCCTCAAATTCTCACCACTTGCGTATAAATGCAGTCAGAACTCACATGTTCAGGTACATGGTGACCAGGCAAGTTGAAGGGTGGTTCGTTGTTGCATGTCCCAAACCGCCCCCCCCCCCCCCAAACCCCCCCCCCCCCCCCCCGGGCCCAGACCACGAAATGAAACCTCGGAAGGAATATTTGGCCAGAGGAGCTTAGAGGTCCTTTAAAATAGTCAAACTTGCAGCTGTCCCCAAGCCCACTCAGACAGAAGCAGACCCTGGAGGATCCATCACTGATATCACTGTGATCACTTCCTCAACCTGTCTGCCCAGGTAAATCATTTATTTTTAGTGCATTTTTAGGGTTTTGTGCTATTGTGCTACTATAAACGAAAATGAATTCCATTCAGAGCTTGGGTACAGTGACCCCAGAACCTTTGGAGGACCTCTGCTCCCTGGATGAACCAGGTAAAAACCACTCAGCAAAAACTCCAAAAATGCAGAAAACCCACCTTCTGGCCAAAACGACTGGGAATAACTTCCCTGCAAGAGGGAACCGCCTCTTTCTACGCGTTCACACCTAAGCCCAGCATTCAGACCATCCGGCCCTGTGGATATGCAGCCTATATAAATAGGGGACAGCAGGAACCTGATATGTTTGGATCCGGTTCATCAGCGGGGAGGGGTGGAGGGGTGGAATGAAGTCCCACCATTTTTTCCTTGTTGAGCAACACCCCCCCCCCCCAAAGCCCAGTGATGGCTGCCCATGCCCCCCTTTCTCTTTGCCTCAGTAAAGTCCTGGTGGACACATCAAGCCCACATCATTGACTCTAAACTTGTGCCATCACCTGTCACTGAGGAAGCACCGGATCCTTGGATACAGACTTGATTTAGGGCCTGGTGATGTCTTCCTATCGATGCCCCTTATTAAAGCAGCGTATTTAATTGCCTGTGATGAAACGCATATCACTGTTTATTACCTCTCTGGGTTTGTTATTGGCGTAAGCGGATTCACTTGCAGTCCCTAAGGAACAAAATCCTACTTCATTTTTTAGCAATATATAAATAACAACAATAAAATCACTCAGTCTCTTGAAAATATGCAATTTAAACTTTTATGTAATGCAAACCAAAGTACCGGAAAATATACAAAAAATATTCTGGAATGACAGCACTGCTGTCTCGGTCCTCCGGAGTCTGGGGTTCGAATCCTGCCCGTGCTCCATGTGTGTGTGGGGTTTGAATCCTGTCCCTGCTCCATGCATATGTGAGGTTCAAATCCCACCCCTGTTCTGTGCGTATGTGGGGTTCAAATCCCACCCCTGCTCAGTGCATATGTGGGGTTCAAATCCCATCGCTGCTCATTCACTTGCGAAAAATGCAGTCAGAACTCACATGTTCCAGTACATGGTGACCAGACAAGTTTAAGGGTAGTTCGTTGTTGCCTGTTGCTGCTCTGTGTGTATGTGGGGTTCGAATCCCGTCGCTGCTCCATGTGTGTGTGGAGTTCGAATCCTGCTCTGTGCGTATGTGGGGTCAAATCCCACCCCTGCTCTGTGTGCATGTGGGGTTCAAATCTCGTCCCTGCTCCATGTATGTGGAGTTCGAATCCTGCCCCTGCTCTGTGTGTACGTGGGGCTCAAATCCCACCCATGCTTCGTGTGTGTGGGGTTCGAATCCTGTCCCTGCTCCGTGTGTGAGGGGTAAAATCCCCATCCCTGCCCAGTGTCTGTTCTCCCCTGTCACACAGGCTTCCACCCAAGGATTCCAACTCCTCCAGCAGCCTAGAAATGTGCAGGGGGGGTTATTGGTGTCTCCGCTACCTGTAGTCTACATGTGTGTGTCCTGTAATTGTATTTATTTAGCAGATTCATGCACATGCACTGTCAGTCCCTAGAGCAACTAGGGGCTAAGGGCCCAACTGGGAAAACACAACGAAGCAGAGCCCCTCCAATCTCAGTCACAGCCTCCTAACCCACTGAGATACGCGGCAATATTCCAATCAGGATGCACCCCAGTCCCTCTGTGACCCTGAGCCGGGTAGCAAGTTAGGGGATAGATGTCACACAACTAGGATAAGCTTCTGGACGATGGATTGGAGGTGTTACACATCATGTACTCGTTTTAAATACTTCAAACCCCCCATGCTTGATATGATTTGTGTTACCATTTCACATGATTTCTGGCCACATTTTAATTCCTTTACATTTACATTCATTTTATTTAGCTTTTATCCAAAACGACATACAAGTGAGGTACTACAAACAAACTCGCCATCAAGGGGGCAACTTGGCGTTAGTGTGTCTAGGCTGAGCTTCCAGAGAAAGGCCAGTGGATCCACAGCACTAGGAATCTCCTGCATTGCGTGAAGACGATTTGAAAAATGCACCGGAGTCATTCAGTGATCGGGGTGGGCGGAGGAGGGGGGGGGGAGGAGACGCCCTTTGCACCTGTACTGAGAGGGTGGCGGTGTGGACAGGCCGAGCAGATGGGGGCACATGACGGCGAGTGAGCGTCAGTGTGAGCGTCGAAGGAACCCCAGCTGACATCGTCGTCTTCCCAGCAGGAGAGGGCAGAGCTTTCTGTCTGATAACAATCCGGGCCGATACAGAGCATAAATGCTGTATACAATATTAAATGATAACGTACTATAGCTTTGCATTGGAAAGGTCGCTATTTTTATTGTTGCTTTTAAATTATATTTTAGATAATCAATGTTGAAAAAGCTTACTGTGACAGTTACTAAACACTGGTGTGCAGATCTCAGGGTCAGCTAATAGGTTGGGAGTCTTAAAGTCTCTGCTGTCGCTGGCTTCACTGCACAGAGACTCTGCCTCTCTGGGAGCCTCTTTCTATTCCCAGTCATCTTACTGACCTGTTTGCAAATTAACCTCATTATTAGTGAGATATTCAGCCTGGTGTTTTGTTTTAGCATCACACAACTTCCCCTGTCTTTTGTTGCCCCGACATTGAAATTCAAAGTAAGCATGTATTTGCCATAAAACAATGAAATTTCTCATTTGATGTGTTGTCTTTGTTCAATTTTCAATTGAACAATCGCAAATAGTATAAGTGAGTTTATACTATTTGCAAAGCACTGCCTTCTGTTTTTATTTGCATTTTACACAGTATCCCAACTTTTCTGGAAACGGGGCTATAGATTCTTTTATGCCAGGTCAAACGTGGGCATCACCAAGGGTGAATTTCTCTTCCGCAAGGGCCCTCTCGACTAGACTTCCACAGGCCCCTGGCAAAGGGGTGATGACTCGATCCCTAAGGTATTGGGACAGCACTTTATCATCTGGAATTCGGAACCTATATTGCTGCTATTGTTAGCAATGGAAGAAAGACCACTCCCATCCCATAATCCTGTTGTCAATCACTTCCTGGGTGTCAGTAGACCTCTGTGGAGAGCAGAAGACAAATTTCTGGTGGTGACGACATGTGCTGGTCAGGCTTGCCTCTTGTAGCCCTGCGTCATGTCGTGTTTGAGGGCACCTGAAGCCCAGGTTTTATGTAGTTTGACGGTGACGCTCATCCGACTTCCAGAAAATCTGAATTCAATGACAAACTCTTATTAAACAAAACACAGAGCTTAGTGTTAAACATTAATCTACAAATATAACAATAGATTCATATAAGTATAGATTACAAACCAAAGCATGTTTATAAAAACCAGAGACAAAACCAACACAATCGTGTATAAGTAATTAGCTGTTTTATTGTAATGAATAATGCACTTCTTACACCGTCTTCCTGATAAAACATAATTTTCTACTCTTGCATTTATATGCATTTTGGCAAGCATACTAAAATAAGAACAGATAAATTGCTGAAAAAACTAAATAATAACTAAATAATATGGAAAGTAACTAATGCTGAATTCACTGAATACAAATCACAAACATGCACTTATACGGACTCCTGCAGTGACATTAAAAATTAAAAATTAAAATCGACACCTATCAGTTTCTATCCATTCTCATGTGCAATGATGCATCCTGATCTGATCTCGATTGTCATTTTCCCCCCATAAATTCTTCCAAAACCAGTGGCTTTTCTGTGATACCCATAGCTAGTAGCTTTTCTACAATAAAATTATGCTCATTGCGGGAAAGGCGTCGGCAGAACTAAGCTGAACAGTCTGGAGTAACTTACAGTACACAGTAGGCCTAGAAAACTGCACGCTCATGTATTATATTAATGTAAATACTTGATGCTTTAGTGCAGTATGTACACATTCAATACGTATCGCATGAATTATTAGCATTAGCATTATGTTCAATGGCAGAGTGCATCGTTCGTTTTTATTTAGTCCAGCGATGGAAATAAAACAAGGTTAAGAGCAGACAGAGAGTGATGCAAGCGTCAAAAGAGCTTCGAGGTGTCCTCAAGCATTCGGTCACGGTGCTCAGCCATGGGTGGACATCGGCGCGGCTTCTGCTTGCCGATTCCCACTTCACACTTTGCTCATCCAAATTCTGCAAGAAAGCACACGGCAGTCGATGTCGAGAGACACTCAGAGGGCAGAGTAGGATGGGTGTGGACCACAGGGCCACAGAAGATGTCAAGGCTACAGATGCTGGTGAACTTTGCTGCGTTTTGCTTGAGTTTTTTTTGTAAACCTCCTCGGCCACAAATAGGACCAGGCTTCCTCTTTCGAACTTCTGCAGAGTCACTGAAAGGCCTCTTGTTATTTCCTCTGATTACATACTCCAGAACATCTTGTAATCAATTGCAGGCAGGAGAAACTTTATACCACGTCCTCCAGACCAGAAATAATGATGCCTTTGATCTCCTCATGCCCCTTTTCCCCCACCCATCCTATCTGGCCACCTCTGGAACTAAGGACCCCTTGTTGCCCGGGCTTCCACTCCCCCACTCCCCCACTCACATGGATGCCTTCTCCAAGGCCCTCCCCCACCTCGGCCTCGCCCCTGTCCATTGTTCTGGCTGCTGTGACCTTTCACCCTACGGCTATGATCTGTCATGGTTTCACGACTAACGATAAACACCGGAGCACTTTCCAAACCTTCGCCTATCGCGGTTTCCTTTGTGATGGTTACTTCCATAATTCAGCGCAGCCAATGGGCCATGAAAACAGTACAGCTCTGCTCAGGACTGGCGAATAAAAAAAATCTGTGCATCAACACACTGTAATTATTAGGACAACATGCTTGAGCTCTTGTAAATGTTTACATTCTAAAATGAGACCAATTACTTGCAAAGGTTTTTTTATCGGGCTGATCCTGGGTGGTTTTAAGACTCTGCTTGTCCAACTACCATCATGCACGATAACAGAGCTACCAGCCGTGCAGACAAATGCCACACTGATAGAAATAACTTGATGCTGAAAACAAACCTGGGTGGTTACCTAGAACAGGTCAGAACTGTGCTGGAAATGGTGCTGGAGCCGTGTGTAGTCCACAGGTGACCCCTGCCCCTAGTCTCTGGACCAGCCAATCAGAGGCTGGAGACCTGATAGGCATCTCTGTCCCCATGAGAATCGGAAGGCAGCCATGAGCCGATGAATGATGTGGCATTCCGTCGAGGATTTTCAGATTCGGGATAAAAGCACGGGACTAATCCCAGGTAACACATTCTTCACCTCCGGTATCAACCAACCAACCAGCCAACCAACTTTATTTATAAAGCACTTTAAACCAACCACACAGGACCAAAGTGCTGTACAGAGAATTTACAATGAAACAATTAGAATTCAGTAAATAAAAGTTCATAAAATAAGCGCATGTACAAAATAAGATGATATACCATCAAATAAAATAAACTAAAATCAACATCTCACAAGGGATCGAAAGCCAAAGGAAAGAGATGGGTTTTCAGGCGGGATTTAAAAACAGACAGAGAAGAAGCCCGTCTAACATGCAAGGGCAGATCGTTCCACATTCTGGGAGCTGCAGCAGCGAAAGCCCGGCCCCCTCTATGCTAAGGCTTGGTTATAGGCACACGCAGGAGCAGCTGGCCAGATGACCTGAGAGACCAGGAGGGTATGTTAGGGTGTAACAGCTCAAAGAGGTAGGGAGGGGCCAGACCATTAAGAGCCTTAAAAGCAAATAAAAGAATTTTAAATTGAATCCTAAAATGTACAGGCAACCAGTGGAGCATTGATAAAACAGGCGAAATGTGCTCATACTTCCGTGTGCCCATCAGAAGGCGTGCAGCAGCATTTCGCACCCTTTGAATATAGTAATATATTCGAATATGTAATATAGGATGCACCTACTCCTACGTAAAGCGCATTGCAGTAATCGAGCTGAGTGGGAATAAAGGCATGGATTACTGTCTCAAAATGCTGCTTGGAAAGAATTGGCTTTGTTTTAGGCAACTTCCTCAACTCAAAAAGGCTAGATTTGACCACAGCTCTGATTTGGCAGTCAAATTTAAGGTCAGCATCTACCTTGACCCCCAGATTAGTGACAATTGGCTTAATATATTGTGCCATAGAACCTAAGTCTAGGTTGGGGGTCTCAGTGGAGCGACCAAAAACCATCACCTCTGTCTTATCATTACATTTTAAGAAATTATGAGACAGCCAGGTCTTAATGTCTTCAAGACACTTCAATAATGGCAATATAGAATGAGAGTCTGTCTTCTTTAAAGGCACATAGATCTGGCAGTCGTCTGCGTAGCAATGAAAAGCTATGTCATGCTTCCTAAGTATGGATCCATGTGGGAGCAGATATAAAAGAAAAAGCAAGGGACCTAAAACTGAACCCTGTGGGACCCCACACAGGAGGGGAGCAGAGGAGGACACATGGTCAGCCAAACTGACACAGAAAGTTCGATCCACCAAATATGACTTCAACCACTCCAAAGCTAACCTGCTGATGCCCACCCACTGCTCCGAACGGGAGAGTAAAATAGCATGATCCACTGTATCAAAAGCCGCAGTCAAGTCTAAAAGTACAAGAATAACACAATCTTCAGAGTCTGTGGCTAAAAATATGTCGTTAAAAACCCTTAAAAAGGCTGATTCGGTACTATGTAAAGACTTAAAGCCAGACTGAAAAACCTCTAAAATATTTCGCTCTTCCAGAAAGGCCATTAGTTGATTGTAAACTATCTTTTCCAGAATTTTTGCAAGAAAAACTGCAGGGTCAAGAGCGGGTTTTTTAATAAGAGGCTAGACAACTGCGTGTTTAAAATCTTTAGGGACTACACCCGAAGATAAACTACTATTTACCAGTTTAAGTACCCAAGGCTCCACAGTGGGGAAAATCTCTTTAAATAGTCGTGGGGGAACAACATCTTTAGAAGAACCTGCAGGACTTAGATAATCAACAATCTCCTGTAAGGAAGTCAAAGTTACAAGCTCAAAACTGCCAAAAACAGCAGAGCTAGAACCAGATACTGAAGGATCATAAGCAGCAGGAGCTATAAGAACCCTGGTAGAGGTGACCTTCTCAATGAAAAAGTGCAGGAAGTTGTCACAAGCAGTGAAAGAGGGTTCAATACTGTCTATCTTTGGGGCTTTGAGAACAGAGTCTACGGTCCTAAATAAAACCTGAGGATAATTACGATTAGACAAAATAACGTCAGATAAAAATAATCTTTTAGCATTTTAAACGGCTGTCTGAAGGGGAGCCAGCAGTCCTTTAACATTTGAAGTGACACTTGTGGTTTGTCCTTTTTCCATTTACGCTCGGCTTGACGACACTCACGTTTGGCAGCTCGGGTCGTGTCATTCAGCCAAGGCTCAGGTTTGGTTTCGAGCTGCCTGGTTTTTAATGGAGCCACAGTGTTCAGTACAGTCTGGCAGGTGGAATAAAACAATGAGCTCAGCTCCACAGTTTCGCTGTATAAAAACTCAGAGGTGCTACAGTTCTGGTTAAAAACAGGTGAAAACTGAACAGCAGTGGAGGAGTTAAAAACACGACAGCGCCGAGCAGCAGCGCGAGGTTTCACTGTGGTGCAGGCAAGGACAACATCAAATAATACAGGAATAGGATGGGAAAATACAGCGTCACAAACCTCCAAGTTAAAAACAGGGAGACCATATGATTAAACAAGCAGGAGAGCACCTCTGCTATCCCGGCCAATCTGTATTGTGCAAGGGGTTTTCATGTTAACCTGTTCTGCTCAAATAAGACAATAAATCCAGGGAAGGTGAATGGTTGGACAACTATCCCACAACAGTAAGTAGAGGTACTCTACTTGAGCGGTACTTCTTTTGGATATGCAAATTTAAGCACTCAACTAAGCATTAATGTTAGAAACAATACATCTGCAAGAGGTTTGTATGCCATGTTCAATGTCATGTTTGCTGTTTGCTTTTCTAAAAGTACATCTGGGTGCCCAGCATTGAGAGACCTGGTAGGACTGTATGGTCAGCTTAGCAATGAAGAAGCACGGTGTATTTTACCTACATTTCACAACAGCTGTAGCTTGTGAAAAGGAAATGCTCCTTGCTGTCTGTCAGGCCCATTACACATGTACGCACTCCACAAACAGCCACCGGCAGGAGTCTGTAGATGTCGCTGTTAAGTGTCTGCTCCGGCAATGCATCATGGGAAGCCCACCGAACCACCGCAGTGGTGTCTTTTTTCACAACGGAACACTTTACTGTGTCTGACTGGTTTGTGGTAGGGAAGGATGGTGCCAGGGAGCCCTCAACGATGGCAGGAAACGCCATACAGCCATCCGCTTAAATTTACCTGGCCTAGATTTTCTTTTAAGGATCCATCTGACGCTGCTCCTTTCTGGAGACGAGCAGCGTACGGCTGATCAGGAACAGCATCGGAATCATGCTGCTCCATCAACGATATAATGGGCAGGTGTGGATTTCGCACAGGCACTTGGGGGGGGGGGGGGGGGGGGGGGAGAGCCGGGAGGGGGAAAATTTCGGGGTGGTGTTGCAACAATTTATTGGAGGGTGGTGTGGGGGGGGGGGGGGGGGGGGGGGGGGAGCCGATGTGGGGCTCACGGCCACGTCTCCATCTGCCCCCGCTCTGTAGAGCTGCCAAGCCATTGTTGGGGGCTGACAGATGGTGCCACATTAGGGAGGGGGGCTAACTTCTGCCTTTTGGGAAAGGAATGTGGACCTGATGGCTTCAGCGATACCAGCACTGGTGCGTGCACATGTTTGTGTGCGTGTGTGTCTTTGCACAGTCATGTGATCTGAGGAACAAGCAGTAATACCTGTACAAGGATAACGGGTGAAAAGATTAGGGTCCCTCCTTCATACACCAACCCTGGGAAATAGTCTAGGCCGGTGTTTCCCAATCCGGTCCTCAGGAACCCACAGATTGTCAACGTTTTTGCTCCCTCCGAGCTCCCAAAATGTGGACTGTCTGGCAGGGAACTGGGGGGGAGCAAAAACACGGACAGTCTGTGGGTCCCCAAGGACCAGATTGGGAAACACTGGTCTAGGCTACATACTCAATAGCCTGTTGAATTTATAGCCCACAACTGACTCGGAGCAGGTTTCATCAAATATCAGTAAAGAACATCAGCCTGAGCT